AGGTGATATTGCCACTCCAACGGGCCTAAACCGATCCAAAACTTCCTTGCCAAGTGTTGGACTTGCTTGGGACCTATTACTTCTTTCTTTCTGCTTTCTGTCTTGTGCAATGAAAATGCCTACACTACTCCTATTCCACCAGTATATTTTGAGAACACATAACTTGTTTGAATTCATGGCTCGGAGTTGTTGAGGAATTTTGCCTTGGGATAAATTGTACTTCAAGTGTTGTTCATAATTGATTTTCTTTATTCTTAAATAAGATCTTGGACAATAGACTTTAGAACTGATGATGAAAACAGCTAAGAAGTTTGGGGTTATTGGGATAGAATTAAGCTATTTTCCACAAGAGAAAGACATGAAATTTGGACAGAGACAAAAATATTATGGAATGTCTGTGGCTACCCAAAATTCATATGTTGAAATAGCCTAAACATGATAGCATTAGAAACAAGGGCCTTTTAGAAGTAATAAAATGAGAGTGATACCCCATGAGTGGGATTAGTTCCCTTATAAGAAGATATAGGAATAAAGATACCTCAGTCAGCCATGTTGGGACACAATGGCCAACTGCAAATCAAGAAAAGTCCCCTCCCTAGACATCAGATCTACCAGCTCCCAGAACTCTCCTGCCTCCAGAAGTGGGAGAAATAAGTCTTCATTGATGAAGTAACCCAAATTCCAACATTCTTTTACAGTAGTCCAAAGAGATTCAAACAGAGATTTCAAGAAACATTAGCCATTTCTCCTTAGTTGGGAAAAGTGAGGTATAAAGCAATCTTCCAAGAGTGAAGTAAGAGAGGTCTTGTAGTATGAGACAGCTGGTAAAAATTTACAACTAGAAGCACAGTGGCCTGAAGAAAGTGGAGAAGGTAAAGAAGTCTCAGCAGCTACTGCAGCATGAGAAGAAAGGGGCAGGTGGCAAACAAGGACACATCCAGTACAGAGACTCAGGCAGTAGCTTCTAGACAATCCCTACACTAGAGAGGTTGAAAGGCTTAAACCATTGGGTTTTTGAAATGCAAAAGTGGGATTTTTTTCTTTTCTTTTCTTTTCTTTCTTTTTTTTTTTTTTTTTCTTTTTGGAACTTGGGTGCTACATCATGCATGTATTCAGGATAAAATACAGAGGCAGAACCTTTTGAAAACTACATTCCTATTAAAACATTTTTAGGAAAGTACTGATACAGAAACTCCACCTCCTACTCCTTTCTGTCTCCCGTATGTTCTGATGCCCTTGTCTTCCGACTTTGACCTTCATTTCTTAGTTTTGTTGTTGCTGCTGCCTGCAGATTCAAGAATTATACTTGACTCACTTCAACACCTTCTAAACACTTTGCCTTCTAATATACTTTTGTTTTTGCTTTTTAATTTTTTTACATTTAAATTGCATTTAATTGCCTAGTTTGAAAATAGTTCTATGTAGTAGTTCTAAGTGCTAGTAACAACCTGGTCTCACTTGGTTAGGCCCCCAGTGGAGGTGGGATTTAACAAAGGGTCAAGGAGATACTTGCTGCCAATTGTTGTGCAGGCTTTGTCACTTTCCTCAGATTGGGGATGATATTTCTAAGATCACTTTGGGGGACAGAAAGACATCATGCTGAAGAGTCTGAAAATAGTTCTATGTAGTAGTTCTAAGTGCTAGTAACAACCTGGTCTCACTTGGTTAGGCCCCAGTGGAGGTGGGATTTAACAAAGGGTCAAGGAGATACTTGTTGCCAATTGTTGTGCAGGCTTTGTCACTTTCCTCAGATTGGGGATGATATTTCAAAGATCAGTTTGGGGGACAGAAAGACATCATGCTGAAGAATGAGTCATCTTGCTTCAGTGGTGGGAGGCGATCAGGTAAGGATTGGTTGCTAATCAGTATTAGAACAAGTGGCCTTCTAAGGAGCCTGATGACATGCTAAAAAGTGCTGGTTTTGTTGGGATTCTCACCCTTGGTTGGAAATGTTTAGTGCAAGACAGAGCAGAATGTTTTCTTCCACTGATTACATTAGTTGAGACACCAGAGGCCTGATACTCCACTTGGCATCTAGTCATATCATCCTGTCTTGTTCCACTTGTCAAACAAGTTTGAAACTGTCACCAGCATCCTGACCAATTCACCTTGCCTTGTATTCCTTGGCCCCAGACATCTGGAGAGTTGAGGGCCTGCCATCAAATCTCCAATTTTCATTCCTTCTAAGTCCTTGCAATGCATGTCCCCATTTGAAAGGGGAAAAGTATTGGATGTATGATCACCCCATCACTGAACTCCCAATTCTCAGTCACATTTCATTTTCTGCTTCGGAAATGATTAGGTGCTCTGCTAGGGGTGACCTTTGTGATCTGACCTGGAATTTTTACTATGTTATCTGGCTTAACTTTCTTATCCCTTCTCTTTGTCCCCTTTGACATCAATAAGTTATCCCTGTTATCTTCCCTAGATTTCTCAATTGCCTTTTCATTTTCTCTACCTCAGCCTCTGTCCCTCCTCTGTATGCCCTTCCATTCTCAAAAGCTCCTTACATCCCATATAGAAATTTTTCCTATGTGGCGCCAGGGAAGAGACAATTAAGCTATGCAAGCTTTCTTTTCAAGATTCATAATTACATTTCAACAAAATATGATTGATCGCCAAACATCGTCCCGGGTTCTGTTGACAAAGTGATCAAAAAGACAATTTCTGCTCCTACAGAAGCTCACAGTTCTATGCAAAACACCAGAGAGATGCCGAGTAGCTTCGATGCAGTGGGTAAATATTACTGAAAAGATATACAGCAAAAGCCTAAGGATATCAATGATGGGACAGTCTGGTCTGTCTGTAGGTACGCGATATCTACAGACTAAATTTAACAATTAAATGGCTATTGGTTTGTTTCTATATACTCAAAGAACTTTTTATAAACTGTAGAATGCTAGACAGAAGACTCTTCTTTTTTGGATGGGATACCAGGGATCGAACTCAGGTCCTTGCGCTTGAGAGGAGTCACCAGAACCACTGGGTTAAATCCTCAGCCCAGCTCTTCATTTTTTAATCTGTGAAAAATCAGACTCCAAGAAGTTGAATGAAAATGTCCAAATTCACTGTGCATGTTTAAGATAGGGCTGATATTTCATGTTTGTCAAGAAAGTTAAAATAGACTAACTCTCAGAATCCCAGTGGCTTAACACAGCAAGGGAAATCCTTCCCTACAGCAGCGCGCTAATCACAGATACTGCTCTGTGCTGGGTGGTCTTCATTCTTCTTGGAGATATGCTTTCTGGAGCACCTGGCCTCCAAAATTATGCTTGAGAATTGGGAAAGATCACCACAGTCTGGAGTCAGATATCCTCTAAAGCCCCATGTGCTGCAAAGGGGCATTCCTGGGAGGTGGTGGAATGCTTGCTTTGGGCATAGTCAGTATTACGGTCCTCTACAGTGAAAGATGTTATTTTGTCTCAATTCCCTGATATATACAAACTTCATTGCATTGTGCAGGAAAATGTGTAATAATGCATGAAATTCATTGAGAGTAGTCTATCTTCACTATACATGATCTCCCTGGGGACCTTGATTCCAGCATGAGTCTGCCTCAGTCTATGCTGGGTAGAGTGGAGACAGACTCCAAAGGTTAAGTATAAGAGAGATGGATGGATGGAAAAAAATGTAAGATACTTCATTTGTTGTCGTAGTTTCAGCTATTTTCTTAGTGAGGGTAGCATCTATTTTCTACTCTGTTTTACTTATAATTTGACCCTTATGTTCTTCAGGGCATGACCATCCTTTTACACAACAGAATTTTAAAGAATTTTGATAGCGCAGCATAGGACATCATTGTGTTAATCATTTTGTGATTATTACTGCAGAATAAAGTGCCCAGCATAGTAAATAATAGCAGTATAGCTGTCTTTGAAAGAAAAGGTCAATATTATACCTGCTTGCTGATAGGAGAGATTAATATACTCTTACTATTATTAATAATAGTAATTAGACTCTACTGCTGTAGCTGATCTTCAGGTCCCATTTATAGGAACAGCCTAATGTTCTTCTTGAGCATGACTTGGCATATTTTAGCACGTCAATTGAAAGCATTGAAAATCAGTGCCAGGATCTTATCTTTTTATTAGCTTTTTGGCACTTGGATTTTTTATTTATATTGGGCTGACTTTTCTGCCTCTGAAACAGTTAGCAAGAATTTTTATATAAAAAGAAGAATATTTTTTGCTTAATAGCATTTCCAGATCTTTGCTTATTTTGCACCATTTAGCACAGCTACTGCTGCAAATTAAAAGGACAGGCATCCTTGTCGGGACAATTAACACTTGCGGGGAAACAGTGTCCTCAGCCACAGGTCCGGGAGGTGGCAGGCTTCAACTGGGATGACTGTACAAAGGAACCCTTCCCAGGACTGGGAGCAGAGGCAGACATGGAGAGGGCAAGGGGCCACCACACTGGCTGTTTGGTGACCAGATGATGACATTCTTCCCTGTTATACTTCCTCTACCCAAATCACCTCTGAGCACAGTGCAAAATGCTTGCGGAAATATACAAATGTGCCAGGATGATCCTTGTTTAAAAGTTAAACACATGGAAGAAGGTAATTTAAGAGTTCCTTCGGTTTCAAATGAATTCTCTCTGTTATTTCCTATGCTGTGAATTTTCACAAATATTTCCAATTTTGGATTAAGGCATGAAAGGTTTTTATTAAAATGAACCAATGCTACCTAGCAGGGGTAAACTACTTACTTTTTATCATTAATGTCATACTGTGAATAATTAAAACAAGATTTTTTTTCACTGAGTTAAGCCTTAAGAAATAATCACGGTAATGTTTCAAAATTTAAAATGTATTGCATGCTTTAGTTTACAATGAGAAATGAGTTATTCTGTCATTTGTTGCAAGTAATATTTTTATAAGATAAGGTAGGTGGGACAAGGTGTTCCTCTCATTTCACCGAGGAAGCATCGGAGAGGCTCTGACTGATGCCTTTCTGTTCAAGGACATTCCAAAGGGCTGGACTGAAGTATAGCTGAGTGGTGCAGAGGGAAAGGAGGAAGTGGAGAGATCCTTGGGGCCAGTTCCTGTTGGATCAGCAGGGAGCTGGTGAGTAGTGAAAGAACACGGGGAGACTTACAGGGTGTGGAGGGAGTTCAGGGTAGAGAAAGAGGGGCCACTAGCAATAGTAATACATCATTTCTTGAGCATCTATTAAGCATCAAGCTCTAAACTAGATTAATCTACAGTTTCATTTTATCTTCTTTATAATCCTGTGATTACAAAATGTAGACAAATAATGTTCTAAATTTGCAAATTAGGAAGCAGGAGTTTAGAAAAATTTTAAATCTTCCTCAACTGAAAGTGGCAAAATAGTTCCTTGTTCTTAAGGCCCACATTCTTTTGGAACCACATGTTGCAGCTCAAGAAAGCAAACAAAGAAAAGGTCACAGGAGGGCCTTGAAAAACAAATATCCCTTTCTTCACTTCTGTCTCAGGCTTGGCTTCTCTGCCCTTCACCTTTCCATTAACTTTGTAATCCTGCAAAAAGCAGAAATCTTATCACACTCTGGATAGACTAAGGACTTTAAAAAGTTTTCCCTTGTACTCATTTTTTTTTTTTTTGTCTTTCGAAGTTTGAAATTCATTATGCTAGACCTTTCACATGTTTATATAGTAACTTTCTTATTGTTAATGTAAACTAATACATAGTGCACTTTTTTGTTTTAACAACTAGACAGTCTTCAGCACCCTTATTGAAAAATGTGGCTGCCTAGTGTTTCTCTCTTACACTAACAATTACTCCCAGTTAGCTTTAGGTGCAATACAGCCTATCAAAAGCTTCTGACTTTTTCTCAAGCTGAAGTCATGCAGGGCAGAGAGTGAGCGATAGAATGGACAGTGGGCAGCTTGACTTTCCCTTAGCGTTTGCTCCCAAGGTTACTATAAACCAGAATTACTCCCTGATTGAAAGATGGCCACCTCTTGGCAGCTGCTTAACAGTACGCATTCATAAAACATGATCATTTAAGAAGCTTCAAGTAATGATAAGCTGATGCGTTTAATTGACATAACAGACAGAGGCTGCTCAAGCTGAGAAGTGTTTTACGAGTTTCATCTCCCTGTTGAATTGTCTTTGGGGAGGCTGCTTAATTTCTCCATTACTCAGTCTCTCTATCTGTAAAATGGGGATAATAACACTTACCCATCTCACAAAGGCATTGTTGGAATCAATTAGCCCATATGAAGCTTTCTGTGATCCTTGGCTGAGTGGTGTCCTGTGACGGCAGTGGCTAGCGCCCTCGTTATTCTGCCTCTCACCCATAAGGCTCATCTATCAAATAGAGTTGCAGCTGCAGAGCAAGGATCGTGCAACTGCATTCGGTGGCAGCGTGCCCTGAAGATAATGTCTGTCACACACGGTCTCTCCCCAGAGCGAGTTTAAACTAGCTGCAGTATTGATGTAGGTGATCTTCCTGCCAGGATGCACAGAGGTGCTTTCGCTAGAACTAATTGTGGCCAGCGATAATGCCAGAGCCAGGACCTCACCTTGATGGTGATGGGATGTTCAGAGGAATCACTTCCAAACCACATCATCTGGCAGAATTTTCCACACCATTAATGTGGGTATAGAATCCTGAAGAATGTCGGGGCACCTCAAGAAAGAGGGTTACAACATTCTTCTAGAACGGAACGTAGTAGAAGGAATAGTTATCCTTACAAACTGTCCTCTGTTAGGTTCATCGTTTACTGTTTTGGCCATTTTTCTTTTCTTTTCCTTTTTTTAACATAAAGGTCATGTTCCTAGGGTAGGAATGAAGGGGCAAAAATAGTTGGCATGTGGTATAGGTAAAATGGAGCCCCCAATATCATAAGATCTTTTAATCTAAGAATAGTGAGACAGGCACTCATAAACATAATGCTTGGAGTGGAGAGAGGAGGATTTTAGGAAGCTTGGAGTTGATGTTGAGTATAGACACTTTGATGTCATATATTTTTTTAATAATAAAATCACAAGCTACAAATATTTGTGATATATCCTCTCAAATACCATTAATTCCATGGCAAGCACATTTTTTCTTTCCATGAGGTTTACTGGTAAGGTTTAAGGTAGGCAGTACAGTTCTATTCATCATTGGGATCTTGTACCTTTACATGATGTATCTTGGTTCTTATTTTTTCCCCATTCCCTGCTCTTCCTTCACCCCCTCCGTCCTTCCCTATTTACAAAGACTTTGTTTTCACTTTTTCTTTTTTTTTTTCATAGTTTTTCTTTTCCCTTTTCCTTGACCATGTTTTCACTGGACTATTTTGACGATCTTCAAGTTGGATTCCCTAGTTTTAATCAAGACACACCAGATTAATCAGAGTAAGTTAAACTTTAGGCCTTCAAACAATGAAAACTAAGCCTTTTCCTACCCCAGGGTATTTTTATATATTCTTTCTGCCCCAAATGGCCCTCTTTTCCTAATCTAGACTACTCAGTACATATCACTTGTCAATGTAAAAGTAAACTCTTTCTCTCTCCCTCCCTCAATTGCCAATATCTTGTTATCGATCTTCTCTATAGTATTCTACTCTGTAATTATTCATGCATCCATTCACTTATTCATGCACTTTTTTGTTAATTTATTTTTATTGCTCTGTCTCCTAATGAATGTAAGTTCTTGGAAAGAAAGAACTTGACTTCATTCTTGTACTGGCACCAAGAGAAAAACCTGGCATAAACAAATATAACTTTTTTAAATGTTGTCAAGAAATCATTACCTATATTGAGCACCTAGTCTTTCTCATAGATTATGCTACATATTTCATTACTTAGCTTTTGTTTTCACACAGTCAAATTGAATATTAAGGTTGCTGATATTGGCGGAAGTTCACAGACAGATTTTGAAAACACTGGATTCCAACACAAGATTCTCTGGCTCCAATAACTTGGCTGAATTTGGAGAAATACTTTGTCTCTTTATTTTGTAGAAATCTAAGTGAATGAGTCAACTGCAGCTCCTGGTGAATGTGGGTTGGCTTGGAGGCATTTTCTTTTGTAAACTGAAATGTTAAAAGAAGCACCAAATTGCTGAGCACATTTGTTAAGTACCAAGGACTTGGTGAATACTGTTTAGAGGAGAATTCATAAACACAATGACAAGTCTAAAACTAAATCAGTCTTTTTTTTTTCCTGCCTTTTTTTTTGCTAAATTTCCCACCTATTTTCACAATACTTCTTGCCTGGAGCCATCTCCAACTTTGCTTCTGATTATTGTTTCCTACAGGAAGTTCAGGGAGTGTGAAAATCATTTCACTTTTAGGTTCACTTGAATTCAATTAAGAACCTGAATATTTAACAATCTATTTAACCAAACAGTAAAACTATGTTTAATTAAAGTATAAAAAGATTGTGGCTGTTTTTGGATCTTTGGCATTTAACGTGATGCTTTACATGTGGGTTTAGGTACTTTCATAATTAATATAAAGAAATACGATAACTTAAAAAGTGAGACAAACCTCAAAGAGCAGTATGTTTCTTTTCTTGTCAAAATTTACACAAAGTCATGTAAGTGTGCATGAACAAGCTTTTCTACAATGATATGTGTTTTTTTCTGAAAGATAAAACTTTCTTCCAGGATTATTTGCTAAAAGATTTACATTTGACTAGAAGATAAGCTAAAATAAAGGTGTGGGTGGACTGAAGTCACCAAACCTCAAACAAAGCAATCAAAACAATCATAAAGGCACATCAAGGTCAAATTTTAACTATTATGGAACACTTGTGGACTGCTCTCAGACAAAAATTACTAACATGCTTTTGTTGCAGAGACGAACAAGCATGTTCAGCACAAGAAGTACCAGGCACTGAAAGTGAAGCCGGACTGTCTGGCTAAAATCGACCAGTAGTGAAGACAGAAGAGTGATTGGTAAGTCATGGTACTGTGGCCCATGTTAGAGCAGAAATAGACATGAGTTCTTTAGAAAAATGGAAGGTAGAGGCCAAATCCATCCTGGAAGGCTCACAACAGACTTCCTAAAGAAAGATTCACCAGGGCTGAATAACTTCACTGTTACAAGGGTCACTGCGATGTTCTGAGGATGCCAGTGACATGGAAGTCTGTGAATCTTCTTTTTGTTGGTCAGCCTTGTTCCTTTTGCAACTGGCTTTCACTCCTAGAGAGGGACGGTAGCTGCTCCACCCAGTTTCAAGTTCATATTTCTTAAGGTGAGAAAGGATTTCTATTGTTCCAGAAAGCACTGGAAAATATCTAGTAAAAACTTCTGTTATTTTTTGGTTGAATTTCCTTTCTAACCTGTGGCCAGTCATTTTGGGAGAGAAATGGTGTTTCCTGATGGGTCTCACTTTGACCCATCCTTTGTACTTAGCTGCTTGTCTGTGGTGGCAACCCACTCGAAACCTAGAGAAAAAGAAATATTTACCAAATGACATAGTTGGTTCTAGGTTCTGTCTTCAAACTTTGTGCTTGTGATGAAAGAAATTAAGGATCTGTGGATACATTTTAGGTCACATTTGCCTAATGAAAAAATCATTGGGAAAAAAGAAATCATCAAATACTTAGCAGTATTTGCTCAGTTATTTTCTGTGCCAGCCGAGTACCTGGTGATTTTCTTTCACTCTCTCATAAGGATTCTTGCTACAACCTCTGGTGATGGTTACTATGTAAGTATGGGGAACAGAGAGGTTAAGTAACTCTTAAAAGATCACATGGATTAGGAAGTCAGAAAGACTTGATTTATTTTTAATGAGCAGTTCCATGTTCCCTCCAATACACCACATAGGATCTTTAGAAAACAATATTTGCAACATAATGCATAATCTTCCAAAGGCCAGAGGTGTGGAAATAGGAGCTTTGTTTTCTTTTCTTTTTTGCTGATTTTATGATAAGATGGTCTTTTTCTTCAAATTTTAATGTGCTATGTCAGGAGAAAATATATAATGAGTTCTCTGGATTTTCTGTCTTTTGAGCTGATTCTGTAAGACCTGTCACATGTCTCTTCCTTGGAGAGAGTAATTAATGGGGTGTATTGTTATTTCCAAATGATATCATCGCTGGCAAAAATTTCCTTTTGGACACACAGTGTGGGGACGGGAGAGGAAGTCTGAAGGGACTTGTAGATTTTTGCATCAATATCGAACAATTTCCCAATAGGATAGCGCCGAAAAACATTAATCATTAAATGGGAAATGCTCTTCATCTTTATAGAGAGGTTTTTTATCAAGTTCAAGTGACAGCTCCTCTGGAAGGATCTCTGTCCTCATTTGTGTGGCTGTGGTTGGATAACAAGTAAGGTGAGGTGGGGTGTGACACTACACAGAGAGTCTAGATCATTCAGCAACAGACAGTACCTGTTCTCTATGTTGGCTGACTGAACATTTAATCAGTGCTGTGCAAGGTTCCCTAGGAATTACAATTTTCCCTTCTCAGGTAAACATTATGCTGAGTTACAGAGGTGAGAGAGATATATAAATAGAGGGGCAAAGGTGTGCCTCATTTTATTACTCTTTTGTGTAATAGTAGTAAAAATTTTTTAGGTGATATTGTATACAGTAAAACAATCGTTTGTCAAAGGGTAAACTTCCTGAACACCATGTCTGTTTTTAAAAGATCCCCTGTGTGTCAAGAAGCACACAGTGTTCATAAAAAGTTGTACTCCAGGGTTAGATATTCCTGCTTCCTCAATTACTGTTTTCTGAAGTCTCCAAGGAAGAAGGATTAAACATTTATTGCCAGGAAGCACTGGGTTAAGCCTTATCCCAAGCTTTGACACATTCATTAGCCTTGACTCTAAATTTTCAATTACTGAATCCATAAAGAACCAGCCAAAACCTCAAAAAAAAAAAAAAAAAACTACAAAAACAAAACCAACCACAAAATGGTTAAAAGTCATGAACACAACAGAGGTAGAAAAACCAACAACAAAAATAACCAGAAATTGTGCAGTGCAGTTTTGAAAATTCTGGTCATTTTAGTTTGGCCATCTGTGATGGTGATTGTGTCCCTTTGGTGAATGATATCTGGAGTTGTAGTTGAGTCATCAATTACTCTGATTATTTAGTGTCATATAAGAAAATAAGAATTGCTAAGCTTTAAACTTTAGCCTCCAGTGGGGAACCGATGCAACTCGTGTAGTACATGAGGAAGGAGGAAGAAATTAAAAGTCCCTCGTGGTAAATTGGCAGGGATAGAGCACCAGTAGATAACAGCAACACACACATCACGAAGGTGTCTGCCAAGGAGGGTAAAAGCCAGTTCGTATGACAAGGTCACTCAGAAATTCTCATTTGAAAGGCTGTGACAAATTATATGAAAGACTAGCAAAAGTAGAATCTTAAAAATACAGACGGCCAGCTTCACCTCTGATTTTTGAAGTAATTCAGTGGTGTCCACAGAGACACCACTGGCTCTGCCCACTTAGAACAGAAGTGCCGTAAGTATGCACAGGTTATAACCAGGAAATTGTGTCTCAATGCATTCTGGCCATTGTGACAAAATACCATGAACTGAGTTCTTGGTGTTTTCTTGGTCACAGTTCTGAAGTCCAGGAAATCCAACATCAAGGTGCTGTCAGCTTGGGGTCTGGTGAGGGCCAACTTTCTGGTTTATAATGGTACCTGTACACAGTCTTCCCACAGTCAGTGGAAGGAACAGTGGGCCTCTCAGGGGCCTCTTGGGTAAAGCCACTCATTCCACTTATTAGAGAAGAAACCTTGTGACCTAGTTATCTCCCAAACACCTCCATCTCCCAGAACCATACCTTAAGATTTTGGATTTCAACATTTTGAACTTTGGGCACACAAAAATTCAGATCATAGCAGATGATAATTTTGGTAAACTGAGCCTAAGATATAGACTAGTTTAAAACTGAAAAAAATCGTTGTGCCATAGTTTCAGGGAGGCTCTACAATCCTACAGATATCTTCAGTCACTCCACTGTGTTCTTAAGGTGAAGACCCAAGAAAGATAATCCAAGTCCCTGGTAGGGAAGAAGAAATATTGGAAAATGTACTCGGAACCTTCCAAAATCCTAACCCAAAGAGTTGCCCTAGAAATTTCCACACAGCAAAGCTTCCTCTTTAGGGAATGGTTTGGTAGAGCCTTATCTTAGCTGGGCAGTGGAATTCCTCTCACTCCAGGACTCTGCAACCTTCTGATTTCACCCCTGGGAAGAAAAACCATAGCCTGTGCAATACTTCAAAGAAGCCTACTGGGTACAGTGCCTCTATAAAAGGAGGAGATGGCTGTGGGGGAAAAGTTACACTGAAAAAGAAACACCTGTGCCGGTCACAGCCCTCAGAGGAAGTCCCGTTAAACAACTGGGATTTAACTGAGGGCTGCATGTAATATACTCTGTCTCCCTTGTCACTATGCCAGTGCACAATCAGGGCTCCAGTCTTCAAGCAATAGGTTGCAGCAGAACAAGTTACAGATACAAACTCTGTGAAGAACAATACACAGGAAAGATGCGAACAGGGACAGTAGGTGTAGTTTTGGTTGGAGGAATTAAGAAGCCTCTAGAATCTGCAGCTACTGCACGCATTAGAGACAGTCCAACCAGACAGAAGAAATGAAATTATCACATTAATAGTAAATTTTCTTCAATTCATATTAGTTGATACAACATGCCTGAATTTGAAATAAAAGGTCAGGGCATGTTAAAAGGCTAAAAACTAATGAAAACTAAAGAGACTGCAAGCACAAGGGTCATATTCAGATACAACACATGTTTTTAAATCGTTTGAATTTAAAATAATATAGTTAACATGTTTAAAGAGTCCTAATGAAGAAAAAAACTAGACAACTATGTATGAACAGATGAGTGTAGAGAAAGAAATGATTCTATAATAAAGAATCAAAAGGAAATGCTTGATATTGCCACAGTGTAAATGGAAAA